CGGCGGCAGGACCATGGTTGAGCGCACCAGTAAGTTCGTGCTGGTGGTGGCGGGCTCGGCGTGCTTCATGCTTATCCTGTACCAGTACGCGGGCCCGGGGCTGAGCCTGGGCGCGCCCGGCGGACGCGCACCGCCCAACGACCTGGACCTCTTCCCCACCCCCGACCCACACTACGAGAAGAAGTACTACTTCCCTGTGCGCGAGCTCGAGCGCTCGATGCGTTTCGACATGAAGGGCGACGACGTGATCGTCTTTCTACACATCCAAAAGACAGGCGGCACCACGTTCGGTCGCCACCTTGTGCAGAACGTGCGCCTCGAGGTGCCCTGCGACTGCCGCCCGGGACAGAAGAAGTGCACCTGCTACCGGCCCAACCGCCGCGAAACCTGGCTCTTCTCCCGTTTCTCCACTGGCTGGAGCTGCGGGCTGCATGCTGACTGGACCGAGCTCACCAACTGCGTTCCTGGCGTGCTAGACCGCCGCGACCCTGCTGCCCTGCGCACTCCCAGGTGAGTGGCCGCGCCGCGCCAGCACTGTGGTGGCTGGGCGGGCCCAGACGGCCCTCTGTGCCGACGCCCGGGCCCACTCTTCGCCTCCAAGCTCCTCTTTTGCTGTTTTGGGTCCCCCACTGTCTCAGCGCCCCCTGATCACCTCCTGACTTGCCGGGCGCCCTCAGCTTGTCCTCCTTGGATACGGCCTAGCACTCACTCCTGTCCTCAGACCTCACCATCACCTTCTGTTTCTAAGCTCCTCTCTTCCTTGCCCAACCGCTCTCCCAAACAAGGCATTGCCCAGGCTGCCTACCCTTGGGCATTCTCCCTTGCTCTTGCGGGGTGTGAAAAAGCTGGCCCGTCCCAGTTGAGGGTCCACGCTGACCTGATGGAGCCCGTGGGCCATTTGCTGTCAGTGGGTGCAGCAGGTTCTGTATGTGGATTCACTTGTAGTGTTTCCTTCACCCTAAAAAGAGGAGTGAGAGCCCCCCCCCTCCGCCCTGCACATGCTATGCCCCAACCGATCCCCCTCCCCCCTTGCCAGCCCGCCTACAGAGAACTGAGGAAGGGTAGGCCCTCCTCCAGTGTGCAGGTAGAACAAAGGCCTCAGCTATCTGGGGATGAGAGCTGGAAGGAGGCAGTGCAGCCTGTCCTCTCAAGTTGGGCTGGAAGCTTCTGATGCACACAGGCAGGACCCTCCCATCTGGAAGGGAACAAAAGCCGGCCAGTGCCAGGCCACCTCCCCATGATCCTGTCACCTAAGTTGAGGGGCACATTTTCCACAGGGGCTCTTGTACCCCTTTCTCTGTGAAGACTGAGAGACAGTGCTGACCTGTATGGTCCTCAGTGTGGAAAGGGGTGCTGGGATAGCTCTTACTAGGAGTGGTTTGTAACCCAGGCTGGGCTGGGTTTGGGTGGTTAATGTTGGTATTCCCCATGCCTCTTTCTCTTGATGCCCCCTCATCCAGTGGGTGCCCTCACTTAGGTGTTCTTCCCAGGTGTCTGGGAAGGGCCTAATGGAGTCTCCTTTGGCTGCTTTTTGTGCATCTGCCAGGGTGTGCCTTAGGATTTCATGTGCAGATTCTGGTCTGGGGCTGGGGATTTGTGAGGAATTGGCCTATGTCCATGCATTTCCTGTGTATTGGTGCTCTTTTGGGTCTAGGAGGTGGGCATGAGAGTCTGGCATCTGGCTGACCAGGAACTAAGTAGGCCATGGTTCAGACTTTCTGGTCCTTTTTCCTGGGGCCTTCCCTCACTCAGGAAATTGAGGTCCTAGAGTCAGGGAGGTTTTCCCACAGTCCCACTTCTTCTGAGTGTCCACCTGCTAGGCTCTTGGCAATTTCCTGGGGCCTTCCCTTACTCAGGAAATTGAGGTCCTAGAGCTCTGGTAGCATAGTGGCTGAGACAGTTGCCTGCTAACCAGACGGCTGGCGGTTCAAACCCACCAGCCACTCCTCGGAAGGAAGGTTGGGCAATCCTACTACTTCCGTAGTGATACTGCCTCGGAAACCCAAGGAGGGGTCGCTATGAGTCAGGTATGACTCGACGGCACATAACAAAAACAACAACAACAGAGTCAGGGAGGTTTTCCCACAGTCTTACTTCTTCTGAGTGTCCACCTGCAAGGCTCTTGGCAATTTCAGAGCCCAAGGGGTCCAGGTATAAGCTAAGTGTTGATGTTCTGATTCCTTGAGTGTATATCCCATATTTGGAGCTTCTGGTCTGCCTGTCTGGGGCTTCTGAGGTACTGCTTTCTGCCATCATTGTTGGCTTTGCACAAGTACCACCTGTTCTTTGGTTAGGATACTCCAGTGGTTCAGACACTCTGCAGTAGACTCAGCTAGGCTGCAGGAGGCCAGTGCCCTCCTGTCCATTAGGGCTCTGAGACCCCGAGCTGACTGCTGACCATTCCCAACAGGCCAGGTGGGCCCCTCCCCACCATAAGAAGACCTCACCCAGTGTGCCAGATGTAGTTTACAACAGGAGGTCCCTGGAAGAGAACTTACTCTGCCAGTAGTCAGGAGACCTAGGACCTCTGAGGCAAGTTTGCCCTTCAGTAGAGGCAGCCTTGGCCTACTTTGTGAGGAAGCATCTTGCTGTGGTTGATTTGCAACTTTGGTCACCGAAGTGAGGACCCATGGTCTCCCTTCTCCAGAGTTTGTCTACAAAGAGCAGGTGCTTAGCATGTCACAGCCAGGAGTTGGAGGATCAAGTGAGGCTGACAAGCTCCAGGTGAGAGAGGGAGGACACCAGGCAGAGCCCGTGGTCACCACTGCTACAGCAGGCAAGGCCATAGAGGAGAGTTCTCCCTGCCATCCACTCTGGAGAATGGGCTGTGCCCACCATGCATGCAGGCCCTGAGCATTCCATTTCTTGCCATGCTTCTCCCCTCCCCCTCCTCTGCTTTCATTTCTCTACCAGGCATCAGGTAGATTGTTTATTTAATGAGCTTCTTCAAGGGGCCAAGGTAATCTTGGCTGTGTTTATTTATGAGCCAGTTTGCACAAGGTGTGCTTGCTGATCCAATCTTCCAAGGCAGGAGCCGGCTGGTGCCACACGAGGGGAACAGGATTCTCCTGTCTGCCCAGGACAGTGGGGCATCCCAGTGTCTGGTTTCAGGACTCTGAGATGTCACTCTTCCCCTGTGGGGACTGTACTCATACTCCTTCAAGCAGGGCCAGGTCCTGCTCTCTCTGCTGGGCTTGTGGGCGGAGGAGGGGTGGGCCCTGGATCAGGACCCATACTTTCTTTTCTCTGTCCCTGATGCCTCACCTCCAAGCCCCTCAGACACTGTGTCAGCTGTATTTGGAGCCTGGGGAGGTAGGACACAAGGTTTTCCACAGCTCTTGTGGAGGCCTCCACTTTACATCAGCCTGGGTGGTTCTGAACTGGGGAACATGTTGAGGTGACAGATGGGGATGGACAGGTGTTTAATGGCATCCTGGAGTGGGACTAGGACTTGTGAATGCCATTGGTGCTCTCAGACCCAATGAGAAGAGCTGATAAGTAAGTAATGAGTCTTAGGCAGGCCCCTCTGTTGCTGTGTGTCTGCTGAGGTGGCTACACACCTGTCAGGATCACTAAGGACAGGTCATTAGCTGGCCTTAGAGGGCTGGCATTACCAAGGGCCAGTCTTCAAGATAAGAGTGTCCTATCACCCATGGTCTGGTATCACCCAGAGGCCTAAACAGTGCTCCTTAAGTTCATCCAGAGATGGCCATGCAAAAGAGAAGGCACCGTCAGAGCTTGGCTGGGCTACAGTGGATATCTCCTGAAATCGTGTGGCTGTCTTTTGAAGCTGCCAAGGGCATTTGGGGCAAAGTGTGGTTGCCAGGCCCCCTGGGCTAGGATACTTCTGCAGCAGGGCTCCTCCCTATGTCATTGTCCTACAGTGAATGTGTGGCTGTCTCCTTGCCAGCAGAATGTCTCTGGTTAGACTTGCTCATTCTGAAGTCTTCTCTAGTTCCCGAAGTCTCCTAGTGCTTCCACTGAGCCTCTCCTGTGGTTCCTCTGCCTGGCATGTCCTTCTCCCCTGTTCACATGTCTTCCAGTTCCTCCTCCTCCTCCAGGAAGCCTGTCCTGGCAGCACGTTCTGTGGCCATAGGCACCCTTGACTACTCATATTTGTCTCCCATGCTACTCTTGGGCACCTTGGAACTTCCTTGCCACAGTGCCCTGGTGGCCAGGAGCTGTGCCAATATGCCATCACCAACAACCACATTTTCCTCTCAGTCCTATAGCCTTTCCAGGAGCTGAACCAGCCCTGCCTTTCCCTCACACACACTGGCAGGGCCCCTGGAGTGTTAGGTGGTGAGGGGTCCAGCCCAAATGAAGTGCTGGTCCCTGAGAACCAGGGGATCATCCTTGGTATGCAGGGCAGGTTTGGGACTAGAACATTTCTGTAGTCACTTTGTGTGGCACTTGAAGATTTACTATTTGCTTTCATACTCATTTTCTTATTTGAAATCAAAGAACAAGACTTGGGTTTGCCTGAGATGGTGACAGATATTCCCTAAAACATGTGACTAATGGCCAAGAGTGTCACCATGGACCCAGAGACGCCTTGTGCATGATATGGCCTTGGGTGGAAATGAAAAAGGAGATCTGAGGTTAAGCATTCAGCATTCACTTTTCATTGAAAAAAGAACACTTTTTCATTTTAATCAAGTACATGAGGAGGCAAACTTTTAAATGGTTTACTGACACAATTATTGTGGTCTGTGAAAGTCTCTCTGTTCTGTAACTCATTTTGTCCTTAAAACATAGAATTTGTGAGGCCAGGGCTTCCCATCCCTCATGCCATTTCACTTGTACAACCTGGGACTAGCTGGAGCAAGGATGGCCTCATGGTCATAATGGGGTTGGTACAGCCCCACCTCTGGTGGGCTGCTCTGCTCCTGGGTCAGTGTGTTCAGCCCCATCTCTGGAGCCTGGGACCAGTGAAGGCACCGCTTCCCACCTCCCACCTCCCACCCTTCCTTTCAGCTGGAGGCTGGAGAGTGGCCAGGAGCTAGCAGTTGTCCTTAGGTCCAGAGTCCTCCAATGTCAAGAGGGGAAGGGTGGCTTTGCTGTCCTTAAGGGGCCTAGAGTCTCTTTCTTTCCTACCCCTCCCACCCCAGTTTTTTGGTTGTAAGATGAAAATATAAAGGGGAAGAGAAAAATCACCACATTTCCCATGCTTAGTTCTTTCAATGTGATTGGAAACATCATATATGTTATGCCACAAATGTCATAACCACGTTGTTAAGAATTTAACATTTTAGTAACAGTAAATGATTCCCCCTCTGGATGTATCGTCATCTGTTTCTCCATTGTTGAATACGCAGATTTCCAGACTTTGCTCTTATATACAATACATATGGGAACTCTGGTAGCATAGTGTCTAAGGCGTTTGACTGCTAACCAGAAGGTTGGCAGTTCAAATTCACCAGCTACTCCTTGGAAGGAAGATTGGGCAATCTATTTCTGTAGTGATACCACCTCTGAAACCCAAGGAGGGGTCACTATGAGTCAGAGAG